CTATGCTATTCAAGAGGAACAAGAAGGGGGTGGCTCACGTGGTCTGATACAAGGAACTAATATTTGATAGAAAGTTGTCAAATATTCAGGTTTTTAACTAGCTATTTGGAAATAGTAAGTAGTTGCAAATCAAATGCAGGGAAACAGCTAGGGATGTATTTTCAAAGTTGCACATGGGTCAAGCAGTGCCTTACAAATTTGGCCTTTTGGTTTTCTTATGAAAATCCACGGACATTTTGCCGAGTGAAAAATATCCATTTGCATGTGTTTTGTGTGACTTTATACCATAGCAGCAAGCTTCCCTGAAGATTCTGTGTGCCCTTACCACGCCCAGCCGAGGGCAAGCAGAGCTCTCGCTACGATACAGGATGAGACTGGGACAAGCCATGCTGGGTCAGTCTGGGAGCTCAAACTGATAGAAGAGAGAATGTCTCGCCTATCTTCTCTGTGACATCTGCCTCTCGTGGGCTTCAGTTTGATGAGAGAGAGAGATTTCTGATTCGATTTAGGTATAGTAGAGACTGGGACTGAATGTGCAAGAACTTTGAAGTGAGCAGAACAAAACCAAAGAGGTGAGCAGGACTTGCTGGACAGTGACAATAGCACTGGAATCAACAACTTGAAGAGATGGAACTAGGTCAGGTTAAATGAAGAGGCCTGGGCAAGTAAATTTGAGGGTGAGTAGAAGAAAGGAGAGGGATAGAAAGATGATGGAGCTTAGAACAGAACCCAGTTTATCTTTCTTTTCCACCTGCCCAATATTTGCCTAGCAGAGTATTCCAAACCTCTACAGTACAGCCATTTCCCGACCATTGTGAACGGCCAAAATGTAAAAATTTCTACACAGTCTTTATGAAAGAGCAAAATATACTACTATGATTTCACACAATCATGTATTTTGCATTTAAATTATTTATCTAACCTTATGTGAAAGTAAAATTAGAGCATCTAGAGATTAAGAACAAAATCTTGAAGAGTTATTACGCAAACCTCTGGATTGTGTCACCTTCGCAGCAGCACAGCAAAACCAACGGAAATGTTGTGTTGGATTTTGAGTAGAATATTCAACAAAGACCGATTCTATACTTAGTAAAAGATCTAATATGGAAATCTACCAGTTACTTTTTGCTATCATTTGTAAAGCAAGTTATTCACAGTGGCTGGTATATTTTCACCCTATGGCTTTGACCCTTTGGATTTTATGCCTCTTTCTTATTTTATATATTCATATTGTAAAGTCCTTCATATTAACATATATTTGCCTGCCCACTTTCATTTCTTTTCTCGTGCCTCCCTTCGCCAGACATTTTTACTGCTTTAATTTGCAAAGATTCACACAAAAATGGTCTTATGCCCCTGGTAGATGGTTGACAGGGATATTTTGATCAAGACAGATTGTGCCTTCCAGACTCACTCCCTTAGGACTAAATCCAACTCCCTTTCATAACATATTCACATTTATCATGTACACAAATAAGAAACCTAAACTACAATCTAAAATGTTGGCATCTCTCTGTGACGTTTCCTTGTTGTTGTGGTCAATTTAATTTCAACAATGCTAACACAAAACTTCAGTGCTCTCATGCTAATTCTTTCCTCAATTATTGGTACTATTGCCACCCCGCCTGTCAGTCAAGCCCATAACTTCAGAGGTCATTTTTCACATAGATTACTCTCCAGGATAGCATAACCAGTCTATGTGCACATCTTCACTCTTTTTGAACAGTAGGTTTCAAGTAGTATTCACCTATCACTTCATAGCTAAAAATCTAAGGTAGCATTTTCTATTTTGTTGTAATAAGCATCTCTTTCCTGGGTTTAACTAATCCAGTCTTTCTCTAGCAAATCAACTACCTGGAATGCTGTCATTAAGACTGTTCTGCTATTCCATTGTTTTGACCCACTTACTCCACCTAGCATCTCATAGTTGATTCTAGCACATAAAACAAAAGCTGCCTGACTTTGCTATCGAGATGCTTCACAACTCAGTTCCATTCTACCTGTTATCTCTTATTCTCTACTGATGTCATCCCCCATTTCTGATCAGCCAAGGATGCCCATCTCCTCGTTTCATTTATTAGATTTCCAAACAAGTAATTTTTTTTACTTTCGATCAGCTCCTACAAGCATTTATATTGCTCTTCGAAACCTGCTTCATTCTGACAGACATTTTGCTGTCCTTTGCTATCTGCTCCTTGCAGTTCAGGTCAGAATGTGTGGCTGTCAGAGGTACTTATCTCCAAGACCTTGCACTTGACAATACTGGCATCCATAGTGGCTCCCACAGCCTGGCAGAGACACTACTGGGGTGCTGAACTCCCTTGAACATATTCTGGAATGACCTGTGCATGCTGTCTTTTTATTTTGAGGGAAATAATCTAGCCCAAAATTGTTGGTTTCACCAGGAACAACCACAAACTGCTGGACAATAGGCTAACAAGCATATGTTATGTAGGTCATCAACAGGTTATCAAAGAACTAAACAAGACACCTCCGGTACCATATTAGAAGGACATAAAGACTATAAAACATCCAAATACAATAAAGATATATAATACGAATGAAACATACAGTGTTGATAATGACTGGAATCTGATGGCACTTTTAAGGGATGGAAAACTAATTAACCAATTAGAAAAGTCTAACAGAATAGAAGATAGTAACCTGTAGAAAAGTCAAGTCTGATACACTGTATACCTAGGTAAGTTAATAAATATAAAGAGACCCGTGGCTTGCAATTATTTAGATTTGTGCTCTTGGAATCTGACCCTCCTGATTTTTGTCTGGTCAGTAGTACACAACACTAGGTTTGCCGTTTGTCATGCTGCTAGCATGAGACATACAGGCTTGAATCTAGTCTGTGATTTAAAGTGATGGCGTTAATCAGGATACAAACTGGAGGAAGTTTCTGCATGGGTCAGTTAATATTGGCTAATTGGTAAGTGGCCAAGCCTGGAAATCATGTATACAAAAATGCTACAATATATTTAGGATCATATGCCTATTATGAAATAGAAAAGAAAGAAGTGAAGTGAATTTTCCATGATGAATTATAATCACCCATTTGGTACTGAAACAAAGCTGAATTTTATATAAACATAGATCTTACTTTTTACTTCCTTGGATAAATTCACAGCAAAAATATTATGTAATAAGTGAACTGAAACTATCCCAGAGAAAGATTTCTGCCTTATCTTCGGCATCAGCTATCTTCCCTGTTCTTCCCCTTTTGAACGGGTTTATTATGAAACTTAAGATTCATGTTTCTCTAATGGAGTTATTGCTTATTTTGTCTTTGTATCACTTTTCCTGGGCTGAGAAGAACAATGATCTGAATATTAATTTTTACAAGTATTTATTTTGGCAGCAGTGGCAGCTGAATTTACCTGCTCTCTGCCCAGTGAAAAATGATTATTTTGAAACTGCATCAGTTCCCTGATGTAATTCAGCATACCAATGCACAAAGAGTTATGCCAGTACTACAAGGCAGGAGGGCAGTGGCAGAAACTAGGAGCCTGAGTGGAAACTGTTTAAGAAAGCAAACACCCAAGAAATGTGTATGGATCCACTGCCTCAGCCTCTGATTTTCATATCGCATCCCCATAGTTCTATATTCTTGTAGGCATTTGTGCTTATGCAAAATCAATGTAGAAGACTATCTAACTGGAATAGTGTTTTAGACCTTATTGTCAGAAATGGAAATGAGCACTTGAGGTACATGGCAGTGTGGAATCAGGGCTCTGACAATGTAGTTTGATAATACACGGCATGCACAGACAATAGCAGTCTAAAGAAGATTACTGTCTTCCCTTAGTGATTTTCTAAAGCTGATTCAATCCAGTAGCTGCATCACCACAAGTCAGGGTGGCACTGAGGACAGAGAGATGGGCAGAGGTGACAGACTACGGTCAGGAAAGGATGGGAGCTGCTTCAGCCAGTATAGCTACATATTGGAAAATCTAAGACTTGCAGTATTAGATTAAAATCAGGTAGTTGATCTACTGTCACTTGCCTTTTATCCCACCGTCCTGATGGTCACTTATGTCCTCCAAGCAAGAATACCTGATCCTGTGAGTCAGCTTCTGAACTGCATTTGTATATACAAAATAGGTGCTGCTGACAGAAACTTCCATTGGGAAGGAGGAAAGGAGGTAGGAAACTACAAAACAGCTTAGTCGGGAGTGGAAGAGAAGCTTTTCCTATCATTGTCAGATCCATTTTAGGAAGTTGTTGCTTTTCCTGTCTTTTGTTGCTACCCAAGCAGTTATTCAACACCTCTGATCTTTACTTCCTTGTTTTCTGGTGATAACCATAAGAGATTTGGACTTTTGTCATAAATGAAAAATGTCACTGTAAGAAAAAACTATGAAAGTTACAACAACGTGTTAGAAAACAGATATCTTTATGTTTAAAATCAGCTAGTAAAACACGGTAAGTTATGTAAGATGAACTGAAACTTAATATACCTGCAACATCTTAGCTGATTCATTCAAGAAATCCTCCACGCTCTGATTTTCAGGGTTAAATTTGTTAAGCTGTTGGACTATTATTGCAATATGTTTTCTATAGCTGACCATCTTCACCATGGAGAATCCTATAAATACAGTAAATCATTAATTTTTCATGCCGCCTTCAGTTGTAGCATAATGTATGTTGATAGGATCACAGAGAAGATATACTGCAGTAATGTAGAACAGAACGTTTAGGTCAAGCTTTCAAAATCACAGTTAGTCAGAACAGCTAACAGGAGAAATGAGAATACAGTACAAATATCAATAAAATACAAGACATAATTACATATTTCTTATTCTGCAAATGTCTCAAAAGACCCTTAGGATGATACCTGAAATGGTTTCTGTATCAGGTTACTTGATGAAATGTAATTAAAGATAATACTAGAGAAAAGCATGAATTTTTGCATGTGTGCTATCCAGGTCCTATTTCATACATTGCTCTTCTCAGCAAGATGCAACTGAAAGCAAAATTTGAGTCTTAAATCTTATCACATGTTGCTATTAACAGCCTATTTTTCCAAAACAATAAAAGAATAGGAACAGAGAGGAATTATAAGGAAGCAATGAGACAGTGTTGGTCAGCAAGCTAGGCAGCGATCGCAACACATCAGTAGTCTAGGCACCATCAAGGTTTTTGAAGGTGCACAGCAGTTGGATACCTTTTATGCTTGATGCTTTGTTTGTGAAATGACTGGATTACATCTATCGCGAATGATGTCTTACTCATATGCATGAGAGTTTGCAGAACTGGATACCTAGATTTTAATGTTCACATGACAAGAACTATAATTAATTTGCTTATACACATGCACATGCTGTTGTGTATGAAAGACAAATGACAGCAACGATCAGGGCTGAAAGTCATTAATCTGGTTTAGCAATGGGAAAAAATGAGCACAGAAGTAATTTTCCATGGTGAGAATAAAAATATATTTTTGAAAATCATTCTTGTATTTTATATATCATCATATTCTGATGTTAGAAAAGAATGCTTCTTCAAGATGATTCATTCCCACTGTGGTAAAGATAATTCATTTCTTGTTTTAAAAGGATATCGTAACATTTCCAGATACGGTGTTTTTGTACCCTGCCTTTCAGCACTATCATACTCAATAATAAATGCCTAAACAGCACTTTTAATTACTGATCTCAAACCACTGAAAAAAAGAGTTTGTCTGCGATTATGCTCAATATAGGCATTTAGTTACCTGGTATGATCAAGACAAAATGTACAATTAAAAAAAAAGTCTGGCAAAACAGGGTTGGATCATGACAGGGGATGGCAAATAAAAAAAGAGGTGCTACTGTGTCTCTTTGTCACAGGAAGAATCACCGTTTCTCCACTCCTCTGAGAAACATGATCTGTTTCTCTGTACCTGCCAAGGTTCTTACACTGACAAGGGATTTTGGATAAAGAAGAGAGAAATACCTCTGTACTCATTCAGGCTGAATCATAATTCAGGCTCCAACAGCTCTCCCAGTGACAAATATCTTTTCTTCTGGCATAGTAGAAATGAGTTTGAGCTCTCATGCTCTGTACATGCTGATATTCACCCCTCCCCTCCAAATAACAGTCATTAAAACCAAAAGCTGGAATATGAAAACTAAGACATATAGTAACGCCTTGAGAACTCTGGACATACAGGGGTTCTTAATAGAAAGAATTTCACTTGTGATTGCATTTAAAAAACTGCTATTATTATCATCAGTGTTTTAAAACTTACACATCAGGAATAAAATGCTTTGTCTTACGACATGCACCCTTATTTACATTTAGGAGAATATTCTAATTGCTATGTATAAAAATTATATAAACTTTTCCTATGTACAAAATGGTAGAAATTTTCTTCCATTATCAGATGTAAAATTTCAGGTAAAGGAGGTAAGAACCTGACCTAGCCTTATTTTACAATGGAGCTTGGAGATATTTTAAAAGCAATTACACAGGATAAGACTGGCCACAATTGTAGGGACTGGTTTCAGTGACCTAAAAGATTCCTTCAGGTTTTACATTTGCTCTTACGTTCCTGGCCTAGAAAGACTGCGACTGCATTTCCTCCGATGAAACCCGTCCTTGTTAAAGAGAAGCCTGAACTAAGCCTCCCTGCAAAATTCAGTCAGATCAAGTAGCTACCGCTCAAAATGGAGTAGGTGTTTCTCTCAGCTGTGTGCTAGAAAAAGAGCCCCCGAAGACAATTGTCCCAGTGGTTACATCCTGCCATTCTCATTTACTCTGGATTTTTCCAGATCGCTGTCACCTGAGCGTAGCAGAGAGCAGTTCTGGGCACAGGTCCTGCTTTCAGCAGATTCTTCCCTTAGGCAGCAAAACATGGGATGGAAAGCATTCACGCTGAGCAGCCATAGCCTGGGTCTTACGTTCATTTTTAATTTGCATACATTTCAATGTTTTGCATACCTACTACAAGTGTTTTACTTGACACAGTATATTTTATCTAATATCTTGTGGAACTTCACAATTAAATATTCATTGTACAAAACCTTCCGCAGATGAGTTGTATTAGATTTACCAGATAGGTAAGCCAAAGGACACCAAGGCTGGCTGCTTGCCCGAAATCACACCAGTTAAAGAAAACTCTGGGAGCAAAGCCCAACAATCCCCTCCACAGTATGACGTAGGCCCCCTTGATCTTTTCTGTCGTGTTTATAAACACGTAACAAACGAGCGAGGTAGTTATAAGCCTGCCCAGGGCACCTGACACGTTCACACGTCGAGCATTTTACCCGTGTTGGTGTTCGGAGGCGCCACATGCGGCTACAGCGACCTTGCTGCCAACGGACGCGCGTGAGGCCGCAGGGGTGCGACACCCCGGGCCCCCGGGCGGGCGCCGCCGCCAGAGGTAAACGCCC